GACAAATAAGAGAGCACGACACTGTATGATTTCTAGAGCTGTTATAGGGCAATTTGTTCAGCAGAGTGATGTAAGCTTCGTTATGATTGCATCATCCATGACTTCTAGGAATAACATGATGCAATTCATATCATGTATGACGCAATACCAGCTTCAGATTGCATCATTCATTGTTTTGCCTAAAAAGCAAGTACTGTCCAAACCCAGTCATAGATTTATTCATAGATCCAGGCAAAGATGTATTTTAGTCATTTCTGGTTTAAATTGAGATCCCTTCCCTTTATAACTCACTTATCCTCCGCCATTCCCAAGTCAAGGGTCGTATATACTGACCCAATAGCATATCTTGAAAACTAGAGCCAATCAATTTTAAGCATCATTTTCGTTCTCAGTGACCCAGAATTAGTAAAGTTTGACTACATTTATTTCAGAAGCATTTTGGCTGTAGAGCAGTGTTACGGATGGACTAGCGTATGAATAGTAAACAGGTGTGATTTATTGATTTAAGGATATTTAATTTGTATGTTTTGACATGATTTTGACAATGTGTTTTAACAGTTTGTAAAGCTTTTCCTTTTTGAATATCAGTGTCTAGTGTCCTTAGTCTGATCTCCCCCCACACCCCCATAATTTCCCACAACTGAAAATTTAAATGGGAAAAATCTAAAAAAAATGCTTAAAAATAAACATCGATATCAGTCAAAATTATAAAATAGTTAAATTCTGCCAAGACTAATTATTTTCCAGTTTAATTTCTCCCACATGACTTAGTTACATGCCACTTAGTGTCCCAGCCAGCAATCACACCAAAATATCATGGATTTGTTAAATAATCACAATAAATAAATACTGGACGCTTTAGAGCAGGGGTCTCAAACTCAATTTACCTTAGGGCCAGTGCCAGTCCTCAAATCCTCCCAGCAGGCCAATAATGTGACTGAAGATGGTGTTCAGAAAAGAAAACATTTATATTGTATTTTTTATTTTGAATTTCTTAGCAATAATAAAACTGTCATACAACGGTATACAATTCTTCGCCTGCCAGAGCATTGTTAGTGTTTGCCAGACACCTGGCAACGCTTCAGTTCTGTCAGTTTGTTGATGTTTGGCCTCAGTGACTGAGCAGTTGAAACCTCCAGGATTGCAGAAAGAGGTGCATCGGATAGTTGTGTTCCGTATTTTGATTTGTTTATATTAATTGTGGAAAAAAGTGATGCTGCCTCCATGGCTGGCTCCGCCCGGCAACTAATGATGCTGCTCCATGGTTGACTCTGCTCGGCAACTAGTGATGGTATCTCTGTCCCTCTCCCCCAGCCAATGGGAGCTGTGGGGACCAGCGCAGCATGGCTGCATGCGTCTCTCCTTCGCGGGCCGCAGTGGGGAGGTTCTCGGGCCGCAGATGGCTCGCGGGTCGGGACTTTGAGATCCCTGCTTTGGAGTCTTTAAATCAGGATTTGACATCTTTTAAAGAGGAGATAGGTTGCCTACCCCTGAACTAGACAGAACCTATGGCATGTGTGCCAAAGGCGGCACGCGAGCTGATTTTCAGTGGCACTCACACTGCCCAGGTCCTGGCCACCGGTCCGGGGGGCTCTGCATTTTAATTTAATTTTAAATGAAGCTTCTTAAACATTTTAAAAACCTTATTTACTTTACATACAACAATAGTTTAGTTATGTATTATAGACTTATAGAAAGAGACCTTCTAAAAACGTTAAAATGTATTACTGGCACATGAAACCTTACATTAGAGTGAATAAATGAAGACTCGGCACACCACTTCTGAAAGGTTGCTGACCCCTGGTCTAGTTAAACCACAAGTTATTGGCCCTGATACAGGAATCACAGCATGAAATTCTGCGGCCATGTTACACAAGAGGTTAGATTAGATTATCATAGCGGTCCCTTCTGGTGTTAAAATCTGTGAACCTCATAGTGCTTTACATCACCCCCATTTGAGAAACGAGTAAAAGGGGGCATGTTGAGGAGAAATGACCAACACAGCAAGTCAACGGTAGAGCTAGGAACAGAACCCAGGAGTCCTGATTCCCTGTCACCAAGCCAATATCTATGTTAAATTCAACATTACCTTTGAAAAAGAGGAGATAAAAGTCTATGACTGTCAGTCTAGTATTTCTAGCATCTCTACGGGCAGGGCCGGCTCCAGGCACCAGCCGAGCAAGCTCATGTTTGGGGCAGCAGATTCTACGGGGCGGCATTCCGCCCAATCCTAGGGCGGCACGGCCGCTTTTTTTTGTTTGTTTTTTGTTTTGTTTGCCGATCCGGCCACCCTGTAGGGGGCGGCGGTGCGGAGGAGGGGAGCGCCCTGCTGGTAGCGGGCTGCGCGCTCTATCTGTCCCAGCCAGTGCCAGGTCTGTAGCAAGCCCGGCAGGGCAGCCCGTGTCCTTCCCTCTCCACCGACCGGAGCGGTGCGGAGCCCTCCTGGCAGGCGGTGCGGTGATCGGGGCCGCGTGGCAAGCGCCCCGCTGAAGCCCTGGCCGCCCCCCTTCTCTCTCTCCCCCCGCTCCCTCCCCCCTGCTAGCTGGGGCACGTCTGCAGCGCAGGGAGTCCCCCTGCACCCTGGCTCCAGCCGCCCCGCAGGTTTGTTTTTTTTTTGCTTGGGGCGGCAAAAAAGCCAGAGCCGGCCCTGTCTACAGGGAAACTGGAGACTTGCAGCTTGTGTGGGAGGTTTTTTTCATGTGGCTATCTCAGCAGCTGGAATGGGTTTGATGCTAAATTCATTGACACAATACTGTGGAACAGCTCAGGTACTGTCAGAGATCCCCTGGGCTAAATCCCAACCTTTTATCCAAATTAAATAACATTCCTGATCAGCCTCACCAATGCAGGCGAAGCTGATAAAATCAAATAAATGAATATTTTACATTTCTGTGGAACTTTTCAATTGGTTTCAGATATTTACAAGTGACTGACAACAGCGGTTTGGTGTGTGGAAACACTGTGCAACCTATCGCTGCTGCTGCTACAATACCAGCAGGAATAGCTGGGAATATCCTGCTCTGAAATACAGCCGCCCTGCTGTGAAAGTGAGTCAGGAATCTGGGACACCGATCAACAGAGAGAATTTTGGACCAATGACTTTAGAGCAAAAACCCTACTCATGAAAAGTGCCGTGGAATCCTGAATACACACATAGAACAAACAGGATATTGGCACTCAAGGTCTCATTGGAAAGACCTTCATGCAGTAAACTGCATGGAGCTCATCCGTTTATCGACCTTGGCTGGAAGGATGAAGAGCTAGGCGAACCCTGCTGGAATTTGAAGCTGTGGTTTCATGGAATCTGGGTGTCTGGAGGCTCCTGGTTAGCAGTTTCAAAAATGCTTTAGCTAAAAAAACCTACCATTTCCTACCAAAAACTCTTTGGGGAGAGGCGGGACTATTTTAAACCGTGCCAATCAGAATTCTGCTTCGTTAGTTAGAACTGAGCTCCAGCTTGTTGCTTTTAGAGGCACATGTTCCAAGGGGAGTCTTGTCTTGCAGGGAAGTTTGGAAAGAAGACGGAGTGAATAAATTGGTTTAGTTCCATTCTCTGCTGAGCCCCAGATCCCTGCCACATGCTGAACAGCCAGCAGAGAGGGATATCACTCCATTCCCCTTTGTGTAGGTTGGCAGGCATGGAAATCTCATTTTGCGGTTAAGTTTTGACATCAGGATTAAAAAGAGCTTGATCGGGTTAATTTCACTTCACCAGGTGACTGCTGCGTGGGTGGGACACGGCACGCACTGGGTCCTCTCTAACACACTTCAGGCTCATACTGGGCCTGGAGTAACAGCTTACACCCAGTGCGGAGGGAGAATGGCTGGCCAGTGCTTAAAAATGCCACCAGCTGTATGGCTCCTTCCTCTTTCTAAAAAGTGCCACAAGATCTTGGACAGCTGCTTGTGAGAGGGACACCGGCTGGAAGAAGGGACCTCAGCTTAACTTCTCCGGAGCAAAGCATCTCCCTGGAGCACCCATTGTGTTATGCTGCAGCACAGCTGTTCTTAAACGGTGGCCCCTGGACCAATTGGTAAACCTCAGGGCATTTGGTCCCCAGGTAGCTGGCTGGCTGCATAGGGCTGGCTTCTCCTCCTTGTAGGCAGCTTCTGCACTTCCTGAAAAGCTAATTTCAAATGCTATACAACTTCCCTGAGGAAGTGTTATCCCAATGGGAGAGACTCACCCAAGCCCACCTGGGCTCGCCGGGTTTACTAATAAGAGTGTGATGCCAATGAGCCACCTGTACGTTTCCACTTGGGAAGGAGCTTGGAGGAAGGTACCTGGAAGAGACGGGTCAACAGCTGGCCAAGAGAAGCCCTTTTCTCCAGGGTTGAGGAGGGCTGGCAAGGCAAGGATTCCCAGGCACACAAAGAGCTGCACAAGAGAAGCTTCGTCATCGAATGAAGGGCTGGAGTGGATGGGCTGTCCATCCAGGGAACAGCTCCCCCACCCAGGTGAAACTCATGTTTCAGTCAGCCCAGTTCAGCTGTACTGGGCAGGTGAGAGGTTGGCATAGATCAACAGGTGGCACAAGGCAGGATACCTAGGGAGAGAGATTGGCACAGGTGAGGTGCTATGGGGCTGGCCCAGGTGTGGGGCTCCTGCGGCGGCGAGGGACTGACCCTGGGCAGGTGAGGGGCTCCGGGGCTGGCCCAGGTGCAGGGCTCCTTGGGCGGGGAGGGGCTCCCCGTGCAGGTGAGGGGTTCAGGGGCCGGCCCAGGTTCAGTGCTCCCCGGGCAGGTGCGGGGCTCCGGGGCTGGCCCAGGTTCAGGGC